CTGAGTGATATTAATTCAATATTATGTTATTGTACATCAGTGTGAATGGAACATTTACAAAGAGACCAAGATGATTGCATTGAATTGTGTACCCTATGTTTACAACAAACATCAATTCTTTATGACTCTACAGAACACAACTCTCGAAGCCAACTGTACAAGTCCTGCTTTCTATAAATAGCATGTAATAGTCTCTTCTTTCATTATGAATGAAGAGAAAGATGTGCAGCACCCTGCTGAATTATTCAGCATACTATCTCTAAATTTCACCTTCTGTACAAATTGTGAAATGTATCTGACTTTTTGTTGTTGGAAATGCAACCAGGTATACATCTATTTTAAAGAACTACACTGCTTTAGGTATACATTTTATATTGTTCAACTTTGCTGTCAACTGACTCCAGGACTATAGACATTTTAACAGTTACTGCATCTGATAGCATGACAGAAGTAAGGCTGCCACAACCCATTGTCCCTAAGGTGAAACCAGTAGCAAGGCTGAGCATGGATTCTGAATAGGCACACACACACAAACACAATTATATAATTGATGTCAGCAGCCAGAAAGGTGACTTGGTTAGAAGAGGGAAATTACTGACCAGAAGAAAATTCCTGTCAGCCTGGGAACTGGTCTTGGGAACCAGAAACACCCTTGAAAATCACAGCTGGCCTTTTTGAAGTACAACTGGGCCACCTGGAAACCAGAGACAACCTGAGATACCATTGACAAGTGCAAACCCAAGAAAATGTAATATCAAATTATCATCTGAAAGAGTGCAAACAGTCTGGGAAAATAAAATTGCTCTGAAAGAACAGAAAATATCATCTTCTATTGGCTGTTAAAGGTGAAAATAGAAATTAACATATCTACTGGCTGCTTGAAGTGGTGGTGTCCTACACCCCCTTGTGTCTCTATGATTAAAAAAAAAAAAAAAAAAAAAAAATCCAAAAATATCTCTCTGAGAAACTCTTTAGGTTGTGAAAACAATACATTTGCACACACAGCCACACAGACCAACATAAATAGAAACACTAAACAGTCACACAAATACAGGCAACTCTAATGACCTCATCCTGTTCTCTCTAGCAGATCAGGATAGAGGTCTATCAGTGGGAAACGTATACAGATGTGCAATTCACATCCCTCCAGTAACTGGGCTTAGACACAGTCCATCCTGTAATGGGCCCTGGATGCTCAGTTTCTCCAGCTTCTGGCACCTGGGCACACAAGATGTGGAGACCCACAGAACCACTCCACCTGCTGATACAGACTCCTTTACTCATGGACACACACACCAACCTCCTCTAGAGACACACATGCAAGAGGGCCTCTTATTTGATCCTCTCACCTCACAGACTCTCTAACAGTTGACCTAGACTTACCAATTCCTTTGGTAACCAACTCCTTCAGTTGTATGTCCTCCCAAACCACCTACTCTGCTCATCAGCAAGTCTGACCATAATTACCCATTGACATACATTCCCACAGTCACTACATTGCTGGAACCACAGGCAGGTAGGTTGTATGACATACAGTCCCCACTTCAGCTGCTGACACAAAAATCTAAACTTCATCTGGTGTCTCTAGGTGGTGGCATCACAGACATGTGGGCTCCTATGACCCTTGGTTCCTCCCCTAGTTGCTGCCACTGTGCTCTCCATACACGGGAAAATAGTTAGAAATGGGGTTTAATGACAAGACAGGACAGTCTGCAATGAATAGGCACAGGGTGTGGCCAGGCAAGCCTACTGAACAGCAAATTTTTTAAATGAGACCAGATGTTTTTATCCTCATTTTCCTTCTCAGACCATTTGATATGATTCCTCCCTTTCCCCACCTTGAGTTCCTCCTCTAAACATGCTATAGGAAGTCTTCCCAAACACTCTTTACCTGCATTCCTTAGTGTGTGGCATACCCCTATGCAGTACCCCATCACTTTTCAAGTGGCCTGGAAAGCCTTTTCCATTGGCTCATTCGGATGGGTTTCCCACACAAAGAGATGGAATTCAGTTGTTAGAGGTGGACACTGTCTGCTTCTCTATTGCAGATGAGGTTCAGGGATCTTCGAGCTACTGAGTCTCAGAGAAGATCCTGTCTGTCTCCCTTTCACCTTCTCTGATGCTGTGCAGCCTGCTTGCAGCTCCTGTGACTTCTCCACTTGGTGGCACAGCTTCTCCAAGACAGAAGACCTCCTGCAGCACAGGGGGACATATCTCCTGGTGTCAGAGGCCTCAGGCACTCCTTGAAGCTGGGGCTTGGGAGAGCTGCGTCCATGTGATGCTTAGTCCGTGTCAGCCTCTACCCCGTCAAGGAGAGCTTCTGCAAAACCAGCTGGGGAAACTGCTCTGTAATATGTTACCACTGTGTCTGAGACTGTTAACTGTGCTACAAATTTTTCAGTCTAAAGTAATCTGTATTAATAGATCTTAAAAAGCCACTTATATTGCCAAAGAATATTCTAGCCATTAAGGAATACATGTATCACTGAGTAAAGGAGATGGAGTAACTTGCATGCCCATATGCAGGTACTCCATCAAAAGTTCCAGGTAAGAATTTAGCTGTTGAAAGGCAAACACAAGTTCTGTTACCAAGAACAAAAAACATGCATGATGTTTTGTACCAGTCCGTCTGACAGAGATTATTATGTTTTCAGCCTCTACTTACATCTGAAACTAGCAGGTATTTTCAGGAGCCATATTTCTTTAAGCAGACATTTGAATATATAAAATTCCTTGTTTTCATTTGCTGTTACAAATCCATTTGCTGTTACAAAACCTCAACTGTAAGAATTTTTGGGACAGTCATTACACATGGGAGGTAAATGTGCTTTAAGGCACATTTCTTAAAAATAAACTGTTATTAAGATAGGCTATTCTGCAAAAATTACTTCGATACACAAAATATTTGTATTTCAAACAGAATGCACACATAATCTCAAAAATGTTAAACAATATTTTGAAATTATATTTGTTAAGCCCAGGTATGAACTTCCACAGTGCACATACTATGATTCCGTGCTTTTGTCAGAAACAAGGACCTTTTTCTATGTATTTTATTTTCATTTTTCAAAGAACTCTATAAGAAGAAAATAAATAAAATAAATGTTTGGGGTTTTTTTGTTTTTGTTTTTTGTTGTTTTGGTTTTTTTTTCAAAAATGAAGCAGTGTTTTAGGGCTTTTTTTTTTTTGCTTTTTTTTTAAATAATTTTTAGTCTTGAAAGCAAATTAGCTTACTCTTCTGTTCCATATTTTTTCATTTTCAGATGTTTCTGCATTTCTGAATGCTGGCAACAGCATCTAAGCGTTGAATAATAATTCTTTTTTTTTTTTTCTTTTTTTTTTTTTTTTTTTACCTAAAAAATAATACTTGCATTCACTTATGTAGAGCCAGCATCTTACAGGTATGATTCTGCCTCCCATTATGTGAAGTAAATGGGAAGCAGCTCTGTTAGCTTGATAGATGCAGCAAGTGGATTTAAGAAGACACCCACATGACTTACATAGTTTCAGTAATCACAGAGAAGCAAATCAAAATTAAATTATAATCATTTATGGGTTATCTTTCAGGAAAAAAAAAAAAAAAAGCAAACTGGAGACAGGACTGCTTTAGTTGCCACTTTATTTCTAATGGCAATTCAAAGAATTTACAGGTTGTGGATAATGACAATGAATTTGATAATGCAGCAGTCAATTCAAAAAGAGTTTTAAAATATCCTCTTCAATTATTACATGACGAGGGAATAAGGTATTTTTTTCCAAATCTGTGTTAAAGTGGCTTTAGAATCATAACAATATTAAATGAAAGAACAATATAAAAGACTACTTCTAGTGTTTTTTGAACCTTACACCCTGTGAAACCATAAAATTCTCTCAGCTATATACAGGTTTTACCTACAGAGGTGGTGGAACATATCTATATTGTATCTGAGAATGGCAACTACAGACGTTTCTAAGGTCTTATTAAAAGTCTCTTTATTTATTTGGATTGTGGTGTAAAAGAAATTTAAAACTGTACTAGTTTAGCACCTACTTTGGAATTATTTCCTGTAAATAGAGAGAGAAATACCATACGAACATATGTAAACAATACTGCAGAAGACTCACAATGTTAATAAAAATAATTTTACTAAGAGAAAACTAAATTTCTCGTAATTTTGTGGCAATAGTCTCTGCTGGGCAGTTTGTCAAATGAGAATTGGCAGGACTGAGTTTGAAATGTTGAGCCCCCTTGTGGAAGACTTGCCTCAATATCAGCTGTTTCTGAAACATTCCACAAGGATAGAAATCTCTCTGCAGTATAAGTGAAATATTATAAAACCATTTAGGTCACATTATTATTCATAACGGACTGTAAATAACTTGCTTTTATTTAAAGAACTATATAGGTAACATTTGGAAAAAATATTGCCAAATTTTTAATCACTTATCTGTATCCTGGTAATTAGACTGTTTGTAAGTATTAGCAGTGTTATCTCATCAAACAGAGTGATATAGAATCAAGATGAAAACAAAATAAGCATTTTCATTACCTAAATTACTCTTCCTTATTTTCTCTGAAATAAAAACTAGATGGCATTTACTTGTTTCTATGAGGCATTATACTTTATAATTCTGAAAAAAAAAAAGAGTTTAATTACTAAGCCAAACAATAACAAAAAAGAAGAACCAGTATTTCTAGCACATTCACGTTCTTATTAAATCGGATGAGGAGTGAAATTTATATCAAGATTGTGTTTGCATTTTACAGACCAGTAATGTTGTATATGGCTTTCAAAACAAAATCAGGTATAGTGAAGGTATGAGTACAAACTAACATAAGAAACTTGCAAGTGATATGTTTTTATAAAGTACAGGATACTACTTAAAATATATTTTGATAGCCTTATCTTCACTGCACTCGGTAATACATCTTCAGCCTTGTATGGAGTACAAAATACTTCACAAGCATAAAGAAACTGCCATAGAAAAAAATTAAACTTTTGATAACACTAAACTGGGAGTGGCGTCCAATATGCCAGAGGATCATGCTGACATCCAGAGGGATCTCAACAGGCTGGAGAAATATGCTGACAGGAACCTCATGAAGTTCAACAAGGGGAAATCCAAAGCCCTGCACCTGGGGAGGAACAATCCCAGGCACCAGAACATGCTGTAGGTCACTGCCAGCTGGAAAGCAGTTTGGCAGAAAAGGACCTGGAGGTCCTGCTGGACACCAGCTTGACCATGAGCCAGCAATGTGTCCTTGCAGCAAAGGCAGCTGATGGTATCCTGGGCTGCATTAGGAGGACTGTTGCCAGCAGGTTGAGGGAGGGGATGCTCCTGCTCTACTCAGCACTGGTGAGGCCACAGCTGGAGTCCTAGCTCCAGTTTGGGGTACAAGAGAGACATGGGCATTCAAGAGAGAGTTCACTGAAGGACCACCAAGATGACAAAGGGGCTGGGGCATGTCTTCTATGAGGAAAGGCTGAGAGAGCTGGGACTGCTCAGTCTAGAGAAGTCTTGGGGAGAGGTATATTATTATTATGTATAAATTCCTGCAGGGATGGTGCAAAGAGGATGGAGCCAGGCTCTTTTCAGCAGTGCTCAGGGACAGAACAAAGGACAATAGACACAAACTGAAACACAGGAGGCTCTATCTGAACATCACAGCATACTTTTATACTATGAGGGTGACCGAGCACTGGCACGGGTTTCCCAATAAGGCTGTGGAGTCTGCATCCTTGGAGATATTCAAAAGCCATCTGGATATAGTCCTAGTCAACTGGGCCTAAGGGGCTCTGCTTGAGCAGGGGAATTGGCCCAAATGATATCTTAAATTCCCTTCCGACCTCAGCCATTCTGGGAGTTTGTGATTGGATTTACTTGGACTTTAGTAAAGTTTGAGAATACTGGCAGGGTTGCTCTTCTAATCATCTGTTTAATTGAAACCATTCCTTCATGTGTAAAAAGAAAACATTTATAATACAGAAGATTTTTACAATACATTTTTTGAGTCATTAGTTCTGTCACACTAATTTATACATCATGAGTGAAAGAGTGAATAAGCACTACAGACAAAAAAACATTCACAACAGAATTTTGTTGATTACAATGTAATGCCATCATACAGGTAGACAAAAATCAAGGTTTATTCCTCATGAAAGTATATCTTGTTAATACCTTTGATTTCTTCTTTTGTAATTATAAGTGCAAAATTAACAGTAATTACAACAATGAGAAGAATACTGTTGAACTGAGATTAAAGAAACGCGTTAGAAGTAACACTGGGTTAAAAAAATAAGGTACTGTAAACAGTAAATGTATCTCTTCTCTAGTAGATACTTAAACTCTTTATGGCATTAAGCTAAAAATCATGCTAGCGAAGTTTAGATTTCTGCATACATGGAAATACCTCTGTATTCATGTTAACAACATACCCCCAGTCTATATTTTTCTTCTCTACAGAAGCAAAGTTGTCAAGATGGATGTTCCTGTTCCACATTTTCTAATGCATAATGGTAATGGACACAATTCATATTATGAAAAGCCGCTGGGGACATTGTGGTGCTATACTCTTCCCAATTTCAGTTCTCTATCCTCTCTGATGGACTGATTTCTCAAAGGTAAAACAGATAAAAGTAATCCTTGTTTAAATTCTACTTTTTGCAAAAGGAAAATGCATTCTTTATATATACATATGATTAAGAGAGTTTCTTTGCTGGATAAACCACTCATTGAAATTACCCTGAATTCATATGGCATTGGTTCATTCCTGTCTGTAATCCCTACCCATGGTACACACTCATGCTAACCATTCTTCCACAGCCCTCGAAGAAGTGCTTGCCTCAGGAATACACCAGTTTAGCATGCAACCTGCTCAGGTCTTTATATGGCAAAGGACTTCTCCAGCACAAAAAGAAAATCAATAGATTGGTGCTGTTTACTGAGCAGCACTTAATACTGAAATACCCAACAGAATTTTGTGTGATTTCTATTTCATCAACATCACACAGGCAGAGTCCCTCTGCAGTACTCGCAGATGGCATTCAGCAGTACTGTAAGCAGTCTGTTAACTCGGCTTGGTCATCACTTCTGATGTCCAGAAGCTCAGCAGTCCCACACAGGCATCCTACCTCACGCGCACTCTCGTGCCACTATTTTTCCATAACAATCATCTCTTTGAAGGAGCAATTGCAATGTCCAGACTGGATATAATCAGTCTCCTTTCCAAGAGAGCTCTGAGGATCCCCAAATCATAATTGGGGGGGGGGGAAGGGAGAGGGTGGTTGCTTTTTCTCTTTTCACTTGTGTGCAAATTCCTGTGCTGTGTTTACAATCTCTGCAATAGCCACCTGGAACTAAGGAGTGGGACGGGTCTTGCATCACTATTTCTGTAATTTAGAAGACAATGGTTGCATATGGTCAATACCTACTTAATACAAATGGGTCAATGAGATTATTTAAGAGTGACTTTCCCCACCACCTTAATGGCTTTTTCAGTTCAGAGTTTTAACCACCACTCAAACTTTGGTAATGTGCTCTTGGAAAAGTACCCTTTGCTCATTGTGTCCTATCACTCAGATTCACCTCCTCATTTTAAACTTCCCACAGAGCCTGATGCCCGTAGCCCTCCTGGCTCTTAGTTTCTGATCACAGATATCTGAATTCTGTACAATTGTATCTAATCATTGCACACATGCAAGTCACCTTAGGGGATCTGTCCCTTCCAATACAATTAACTTTCAAAAATTAATGAGGTGAATTAAACAGATGTTTAGATTTATGTGGCAGGTGCACCCTCCATGGTGGGGTTTCCTGGCTGATGAGATACCGTGGCCTTTGATTTCTTTTTTTTTGCACCCCTTCTCAGGCTTTTACAAGAATTGGGACCCTCAGCCAATAAGGGCTGATACTGACCGTAGATCAGATTAGGCTTGGGAATAGATGGAGTCCATCGGGGTAGTCATTTTGAGGTGGTACCCCCTGGAGCAGCATGGCTGCAATGAAGGACTGTCCCCTTGGGTCGGGACATGGCCCAAGGAAACTCCTTGAAGTTTCCCATCTGGGTCGGGATGCTGCCTGCAGAAATTCCTTAAGGTTGAGAGCCCTCACTTTTTAGGTGAGTAACCAAGCATTTTGGATTGTCATTAAATCCTAGGAGTTTGTGCAGTAAGTTTTTTCCTCTCACAGGCATTCAGATCTGCTTTTTGTGAATGATTGCTATAGTGCAAATTGATTGTATTAAAATAAATTTTAATTATTATCTGTTTATCTTGAGAGCCTTCACAACAATTTATGGACTTAAGCATTCAGTGCTCAGAAAAAAATGCCTCTGTTACTGTTTTTTTTTGCATAACCTCCCCACCCCATTTGTGCATGTCCTATAATGCCACCTTTAGCTGTATAGTTACATGCTATATTTCCCATTAGCCTCTTAATGAAGACCTGTGATACAGGCTAGTCTCTGACTGTGCACTACCCAGTATTTTATTTTTTCCTATTACGTAATGGGAATTCCAAGAAGTTTTCACCTGCCCTGGTGGTTAGCTGGAAGCTGATAAACTTCCAGTGAAGATTAAAATTTGTTGCATAATAAGTGCCCTAATTCATTATCAAAGTTAACTATGAATATTCACATATATGATGACATAATAGTTTCTTAAGTGTCTGAATTTAAGTAGTTATCACCTGGCTCTTTTCTCAGCTCTTTGTTTTCAGTTGTTTCCAACATTTTGAGCACAACCATAATGAGATGATTAAGGAACTGTTTTAGGAATTGCATGCCAGTATCAATCTTAACATTTAAGTCATTACATAAAACATGAAAGTTATTGTATAAATTCGACAAACAATTATGTGCAACCCAACCACAAAAATTTTAGTGAGAGTATTTGAAATCGTTAGCCATTTGACTACTATTAAGTTTAGTACAACTATTCAAAGGTAGTAGGAGTGGCTGAAAGACACTGCTGACTTTTTTTTAATAATTTGTCCAAAACTACATTTATAATGTTAACTCTGATGAGCATTTAAAGAATTGTATGTCTCAGAAGTATGAGTTCGATTGCTACTTGAACACAATATGCACCAAAGGCAAAATATTTATGAGAATATGTAATATAGTAGTTACATTTAGACCTATTTGCCAAATATCAGACATTTATTTATTAAAAAAAAAAAGAAAAAAAAAAGAAAAAGTAATATTCATCTCTGACATGTTCAACAGCTTTCCCATGCACTTTAATTTTACTAGCGAGAGCTTTCTCATTAGTTTCCTTTATGGCACCAATGTTACCAAACTGTTATGTATCTTGGTAGATTTATGGTGAACTAGGTGAAAAGACTTGTGGTAAGGTGGTATAACTAACATTAAATAGTTCCTTTTGGATTCTGCTGGTGGTAAATGAAGGTGTTACAACAATGACATTGGCCTAGACATAACTCATCATCAGACTAGTATCTCTCTGCTTGATACTGGTAGCAAAGCTCTCATTGGTTTCAGTGGCTGCAGGATTGTAATCGAGCACTTCTTCAGAGAAAAAAAAAAAAAAAAAAAAAAAAAAAA